CTTTGCCCCAGAACATGATCCCGAGATGCTCTTCAGAAGAGTATCTGAAATATTTATCGTATCTCCGTATCTTATTCTATCCTTATCAACACTGTTCTCCTGTACACAATCATTGTCTACTGGTATTTTTTTACACATTAGTACATACTGGGCCAGTTAGAAGCATTTTCATTGCATGCATAATCCTTTATGCTGTGAATGAATTTGCACTGAGAATTGTTTTTTTTTTCTAGATGAACTTGAGGCTTTACTATGTCAGACTTGTTGGCAAGGAAACAATTCAAATCTTTAAGATACACAGATGTTACTGGACTGTGGAGAAATCCAACTAGAAAGAGTTAATAAGATTAAGTTGGAACGTAATAACTATTTCCATGCCTGCTATCAGATGCCCATTTTATGTTAGTTCATTTGCCCAAATTCTGTGAGTATCCTTGTGCAAACGGACCCAGGCTGAAGATGTTCCTGGATGACAAAAACAAACCAACTGAAGAATCTTATAGTTCTATCCAGTCATTCATTTCCCTGTAGTCTTCCTCTTCTCCTCATATAGTGTTCTCTTTTGGGTCAACACAAAGTTTTGCTAACAAAGTTTATTGGGAGAAAAAAAGCCCAACCAAAATAGATAAATACTCAGAGAAAGAGTTTTGCTTTTCAGCCAGATCTCTTTTCTAGTCTGATTGACAGAACAGGCACAAAACATGTGTTGGCATCATGGGGAGGAAGAGGCACAAAAAGGTAGCTAAGAATTATGACTTTTGTGGGAGATGAACTAAACTGCTATGAAAAATGGCCTCACTAAGAGATCATGACAAATAACGATTCTCGTTAAATTCCAGATTAGTTATAAAATTTAGCCTGATGTATTATATAGAGATTATTGTGTTCAATTGTCTTTTTAAAAAGATGTTATTTTAAATTTCTCTTGTTTTTGTAATTAGAGCCAATTGGCTAAAGAAACCAGATGCAGATTCTGATGAACTCTTTCGAATGGTAGCCGAAGTTTTTATCCTGTGGTGTAAATCACATGTAAGATGCATGCTTTTCCTTTCATTTCATTCTAACTTTATATACAAATGTGGTACATGTTGATGAATTAAACTTCCGGTGATTTTTCTTTCTTTAGAATTTCAAAAGAGAAGAACAAAATTTTGTGATTCAGAATGAAATCAACAATTTGGCATTTTTAACAGGAGACACCAAGAGCAAGATGTCTAAAGTAAGTAAATAAAAATTTGTGCGTCAGGTAAATCTTCACCATATGTATAGTATTCTCTAAGAAGGCTCTGAAAATCTACTCAGATTGCAGCTGTTGTGCTAATAGAAGAAATGAAAAATAGGTTTGCTTCTTGATGACAGACAGCACAAACACTATACAAAATATAATTATGTACCTTTGAGTTAAATGTCTGATAATACTCAGACATAAAAGTTTCGATTTGAAAAGATACCCATACGAGAATATGGGTTATGCTATATAATATGGGTTGTTGATCTTTCAAGACAAATAAAGGTAGACTGTTCAATAAAAGCAAGTGAAGAAACATTGGCTGCCTCATCATTTTCTTGTGAATTTCAGTCAGTATTGTTCTGTCAGCTTTGATGGTGGACTGTTATCTTTGCATATACTTCTTTATTCATACATATAGTGTGCCGCATGTGCACTGTTTGTCTTGTTTCTTTTTAATTTCCACATTCATTTCTTTTTTTTACAACTTTCAATATGACAAGATGCCAATATGATGGCTTGAAAGTACATTTGTTACCTGTATAATAGAGCAAATACAGGTTGTCAAGGTAAAAAATGCTGCTTTGACATTAGCTAAAGAAATTGCCTTACTCAGCTACAGCCAG